AAACTAAACAAGAGCTGAATATTGAATAGGGCATGATAAATTTCCATTGTTTAATATCCTATTTAATTCTTAGACAAGCATGAAGTATTTGCCAAGTGTCAGTTGGCATTCGATGTTAAATACCTTGATTGTTCCAGGAAGCTAGCTAATCATCAGCCTTTTGTCAATTAGCGTATATGCAAATATTGAATGAGTTTTAAAAGCACACATGGATTTTCTTTTATAAATATATGTATAGGAAGTGGATTATTAAATGATTTTCCCTCTGAAAGAAGACAACAGATATGAAGTTTGTATGTGTGGTTTTGGGTTTATTATTCTGAAAACAAGAGACTAAATGTCCATTACTGAAGAAGTAAATTTATCAATCTGGGAACACTTTCTGTATATTCTTCAAATTCATTCTATTTAATGCAAGTCTTTACTTCTTTTGCAATATTTTTTGGAAAACATTATATTTTGAGCTATATTTTGCAAAATAAGTTTTGAGTCACTTAATCCAGTCATTTCCAGACCTTTGTATTATGGAGTATTAAAATGAAATTTAATATAGATGAAAAAGGGATTTGATTTTATTGCCAACTCCTTATTTTGCCAAGAAGAAAATTAGGGGGAAAAAATCAAGAAGCAAGCAAAACCTATTGCCTATCATCATCAACTATAATGTTTCAATCTAAGAGGACAGTAGAGAATGCATGGGAACTTCAATACATCACCTTTATCTCTCTCACCTATATATGCTTCATTATAAGAATGTTATGAGCTGAACTCTCTTCTTTTGAACTTCCTATTTTGAGATCCTATCGCCCAGTGTGAGTCTCTTTGGAGATGTACCTCTAGGGAGCTAATCAAAGTTAAATGTGATTATACAATGGGGCTCTAATCTGCTAGGATTACTGTCCTTATGAGAAAAGGAAAAGATTCCAGAGATCTCTCTTGTCATGTGTGCACAGAAAGGGGGCTGGATGAGGACGCATCGAGAAGACAGCCCCCTACCAGTCAGGAAGATGGGCCTTGCCAGAAAACAACACTACAGCCACCTTGATCCTGAACTTTGAGCCTCTGGAATTGTGAGAAAATAAATTTCTGTTGTTTAAGCCACATGATCTGTGGTACTCTATTATACAGCTTGAGTTATTGTCAACATTTCTAAATCACAGATCCAGTGCTCCTTGGAAATAATCTAGGTAATGAAAGGGCCTTACATTAAAAAAAAAAAAAAAACAGTTAAGAAAAGGGGTTTCAGATCAGAACAGATAAATCTTTGACAAGTGGAAAGGGAATTCTGAGTTAACATTTTTTTCTTTTACCCTCCTCCTCCCACTGCCTGCTCTACTTTTCTTTCATTGAATGGGGGTTTGGGCGGAGTAGGAGGGAGTAGAAAGATGCACAGCTACTGTTCATAAATGCCCATTTTTATGTCTGGAATATTCTTGTCATTTTGTGTGTTTGGCAAACTCCCATACACACTCAGGTACTCAGAGCCTACATCATCTTTTCTATCAACCCTTCTTTGAAGTCTCTTAAACAAGTTACCTTTTTTCTCAGAAAGTTGTTTATACCAACATAATAGCTATTATAGAAAAATGAACATACCAATTCATGATTTGCTTGTTAATCTTATGATGTTTTCTGATGATATTTGTTACCTGTCGTCTACTGATGTTTATTGTGATTTTTTTTAATGTATTTGAGTTATTTCTGACATATTATTTTGTGATTTCTGTTTACCTCTCTTTTCGACAGTTTTTTTTTTCTTTGCCTCTTTTCCCCCACTTAGTAGTTTCTCCAAGTCTCTTTCCTGCCTTAGGATGACTAAGATTTTTTAAAACTTTATTTTAGCCCTCCATTGGCTTGAAGTTATGAACTCTGATTGTTTTACTGATTACCCTAGACATCATTAAGCATACTTCACAAACTCTAAACTTATCTCTTTCATGCTACTATTAAGAATGCTCTTGGGATGTTCCTTTTGTAAATATTAAGAGTGGAGGATTGTGTTAGTTCCATTGTGTACATTAACCCCAACAGCCATTCCTAAATATTACTATTTATTGCAGCTATTGTTTTACAGAAGATTCCCTTCATATTTCCATGGCCTTATAAATCATATCACTCATCTTTCTGTTTTGCATTTTAGACCTTTTTTCTTGCTATTATTATTTTTTTTTGAGTGGGGAGTACTGAGGATTAAACTCTGGGGCTCTCATTTTTGGATATATATATTTTCCTTTTTATTATTTTATTTAATTAGGTATTTATGACAGCAGAATGAATTTTGATTCATTGTACACAATTGCAGCACAACTTTTTCATTTCTCTGGTTGTACACGATGTAGCATCACACCATATGTGCAATCATACATGTACCTAGAGTAATGATGTCCATCTCATTCCACCATCTTTCCTGCACCTATGAACTCTTCCCACCCTCCCTCCCCTTTGCCTCTAATAAGTTCCTCCATTTTCTCCATGCCTTTTCTCTCCCCATTATGAATCAACATCCACTTATCAGAGAGAACATTTGGCCCTTGGTTTTTTGGAATTGGCTTATTTTGCTTAGCATGATATTTTCTATCTCCATCTATTTACTTGAAAATACCATAATTTTATTCTCTTTTAATGCTGAGTAATATCCCATTGTGTTTATATACAACAGTTTTTTTTTCTTCTTTTTAAAAATCCATTCATCTATTGAAGGACATCTAGGGTGCTTCCACAGTTTGGCTATGAGAATTGAGCTGCTGTGAACATTGACTTAAAATCAGCATACTATAATAACACAGCCACATCAATGTTCTGAGCCCCATTTTTTGTATTTTTTTGAGAGACAGAGTCTCACTGAATTGCTTAGCACCTCGCCATTGCTGAGACTGGCTTTGATGTTTTGTTTTCTTTTTTAATATTTATTTTTTAGTTTTCGGCGGATACATCTTTGTTTGTATGTGGTGCTGAGGATCAAACCTGGGCCGAACGCATGCCAGGCAAGCGCGTTACCGCTTGAGCCACATCCCTGAGACTGGCTTTGAACTCCTGAACCTCCTGTCTCAGCCTCCTGAGCTGCTGGGATTACAGGCAAGTGACACTGCACCTGGCTCATCTTGCTATGCTTTCAATGCTTTTTTTTTTTTTTTAAATTCTCTTTCACTGCTTTTTAAAAAGTTAATTTTAAAGTTTTTTTTTTAATCCTTATTCCTTAAAAATAATTACAAGGAATACATGGCTCTATTTAGATAGCTGTTATTTTAAATTGTAGAGGTACTATTAAACCCTTTTACAGCTTTCATTTGTTTCAAGAAGACAACCATAAGCCCATCTTTTATTTTTCTTTCTATTTCATTACTTTGAAATTTTCTATGTACTTAGTTTTCTTCAGATCCATAGAGATGTGCTTAGAAATTTGTTTTCTCAGGTTTATCCTTTTTGTGACTCATTATGCTTTATGAATCTGGGGATTTCTGTCTTACAGCCATTCTGAAACATTCTCATCTGTTAATCCCTTTTGAATATTTTATTTTCCCCATGCTCTGTCATCTCTCCTTTCTGTAACTCCAATTACATATTTATTAAAACTTTTCTTAACTTCAATTCCCCATTTTCCATATTTTTACCTTTTTTATGCATCACTATGAATAATTTCTCTTGTTTGTGTCTCCCATGTTATTATTGTTTCTCTGGATATATTTTATCTGTCATTTAACCTAAGTAGTACATTTTGCATTCGAATCATTATATTGTTATTTTTAGAAAAACAATATTTTTTCCCCAAAATTTTATAGAATAGTACACAAAAGAAGAAGAAATAGTAGCACAGTTTTAGATCCTGAGAATCTCTAAAATTCAACACATTTGTGCCTTGAACAATTTCAGAGTTTGGTGGTGGTAGTTATGTAGTGGCAGGCAAGAAAGAGATGGCTGCACTGTGAACACTACAAAGACAGGCAGACCCTGGCCTAACACTACCAGACAGGGGGCAAGAGCCAAATTGTAAAACAATGGTGATTGCTATGTGGTGTCTAATACCTGTTGTGTAATATATTTATTATATTCTCTGATGAACATTCAGAAACAACCAGAGAGAGTATCATTAATAGGGAGTTGATGCTTTCAGAGTTGCAGGCAGAGCAAAAGTCAGTGGGTGATGTAATACTATTAATATGTGCTTATTTAAACCCAGACAACATGCTCTAGAGAAAAATAGGATGGAATGCAAAACAACTGTTAAGATTAGATTATATGATGACTCGGAATGATCACATTGATGCCAATAAAGTAACACACTTGTTCCAAATCTGACCAACAACTGTGAGCATGTAAAGATGTATACTGTGTCATAACCTTATTTATTATTTCATTGATAACGGAACTCAGGTTATATCTTCAATCTCCCACACAGACTTCCTCTTCCTCTCTACTCTCTCACCATACCATACCAAAGTGAAATAATCATCCTGCGCATCTACTACTAGTCCAGAGACCTGACACACATGAAGACTGTAGTAAATAAAAACATACTGGGGTTTTGTGCTAAATAAATAGATTTTTAGCTGCTCTCATTACAAAATAAGTTAAATATGTGAGATTATAGTCCTGTTAATTTGGCCCACTACTGTAATCATTTTAATCTGTCCAATAACATCATTTTGTAAACCTTAAACATATATAATAAAGTTTATAGAAAAAACAAATAAAATAAGCAGTGAAATGGCTATTATTCATATATAAAATATTACAAAATTGATTTGACTTGTTATTTCAGCTGAACCAGTTTTTCCCACATAAATTTGTCATGACATTGTATATATGCAGGACAGAGAATGAATCTATTGGTGGTTTCTAAAGGAATATTTCACATATTTTTTCATTAAGGTGGCCTTACAGACAAGAAAAATGCCATTGAGCAAAGCAGACTTGGATAAAGTAAAGGTACTCATAGAAGAGCCATGCGTTGTGTAAGCAAAGGTTAAAAACATTTCTCTTATTTGAAATATAGACTGGGCTGTGGCTGTGGCTTAGTGGTAGAGCACTTGCCTTGCATGCATGAGGCCCTGGGTTCGATCCTCAGTACCACATTAAAACATAATAAATAAATAAATATTTTTTAAAAAGACTGGGCAGAGATTCATGTGTACAAGCAAAAGAAGTTCTGATTTACCTTTGCCCAAATCCATAGATAAATATTTCTAGTATTTATTTTTTAATGAAAGAAATTCAGTAGTATTTAGCAATTTAGCTTAAAAAATTGATTTGAGTCATTTTTCTGCTATGCGCTTCTAGCCAGTCTTCTTGTCAAATCACCTCTGAAAATCATTCATTTATCAATAGTTAATCCCATGAAAAACTCAGCTATCATCCATCTTCTGTTTTTCAAGTCTCTAGAATTACTCATGTTATGTTTTAATTACATGTAATTATTCTACATGTAATGCAGGTTTTTTAGACATCCTCAATAAGTAATAAAACTCAGGCATCAAATGTACAATGTCATAGGTAGCACAATGAGCATTAAAACTGAGTACCACGGGGCTGGTAGAGTGCTCGCCTAGCTGATTCTCAGCACCACATAAAAATAAAGGCATT